GCTATTTCTAGCTGTTGTCATGAAGAAATCATTGCTTCTGCAAACTTCTTGTTGATGACTGATTTCTTTGATTCCTCCCTTGTTACCTGGCTTTTCTCTTAATTTAAATGCCTATTAAATTTTATGCTTCTATGCAGAGTTAATATAATTGTCTCAGTATAAAACTAGCAAAGAATGCTGTACAACATTCTCGTGCTTATTAAAGGTTACACAGAAGCCCATTAGAGTTACCATATTCTAGCTTCTCTTTCTACTTGGCCTCTGAGTTGCAAGTGTATTGTAATGAATTATCATCCATGACTTGAATTTCATGGAACTGTCAGGAGAAATGTGCCAACAAGCCTCTCGTTTCTATTCCCTGATCTCAGGTAAATACTGGGATAGAAATGATGGTTCTTAAATGTGACAGCTGAAAGGCAGTCAGGATGGAGTTCAGTCCCTGCAGGCAGGGACACATCCTGTTATAGGACAGACTTTTTTGTGGCTTTTCCCTAAGCCTGGTCGGTTGTTTCCAAGCATTTAGGGCCTGATACAAAACTGCTGAGTATATATGACTGCTTCTGAGGTCTCTGATTATATGCAAATACTATAAAGCAACAAATATTCTAAAAATCATCTTTCCTAATGTTGAATACCAGATTCTGTTATTATTTCAGATCAGATGAGTTGGAAACTATGAAAGTGGTGAATAACATGTATTAGTTAAACCTCAGCAAAAACATATTTTCACATTGTCATGTCCTGTGGGCTTAACTGCTGCATGGTAATTTGTTAAACCACAGTAACACACACGTGTTCTGCTGTCAGACTGGGAAAGCAAATAAAGTGTGCTGTGGTTTGGGGTTTTTTGTTTTGTTTTGTTTTACCTAGGTTGTTCATAATAAACGCTGCCCATGGAATAATCTGTTATTTTTTAATAAAGATTTGAGTTGTGCAGTAAAGCAGGCGTGAGGAGGGTAAATAATGTGTACTGGTTGAGGCAAAGACTCTGTAGGTAAAGATGTTACTAATATGCAGCTAAAACCTGTCTGGATTCAAGATGACAATCTTAACAATCATTTCTGGACTTTGGAAACCATGACTTTCTAACATTATGCTTTTTAATAATGAATTTTTTTTTTGTATTTAAGGAGTATATAATGCTGCATATTATTCTGTGATTCTAATACAACACTGTTTATATTATTTTTCTAAGTTTGTGTGTATTTTGACCATTTTACTAGTTACCTGAGGGGAATGGTAATAAACATCTGTATTTGATGGTTTTTATGTGTATACATGTTTTTTTTTCCTTAGAGAATGGTTTTTCTTGCTTTCCCATGAAGTACTGAACCCTATGTACTGCCTATTTGAATATGCTGGCAAGAGCAACTATTGCCTGCAGATAAATCCAGCATCAACAATCAATCCTGACCATCTTTCATATTTCTGTTTCATTGGGCGCTTTATTGCCATGGTAGGTTAGATTTTTAAGGTTTTATTATTTGCTGTAGCTATAAATTTATTCCTGAACAGTATTTGTTTTTACAATTATTAAAGGTTATATTAATCTCTTAGAAATGGAAGATTAAGGCATATAAGATGATTGAGCCAAAATATACCCTAAGAGTTGTGTCTCGTACACACTCAAATTTCCTGTGATAGTGATGAAAGTTAATATGACATTCAATATAATATTTTATTTTTATCAATTGGATGTGTGTACTTCATGCAAACCATTGTTTGATTGAGTGTCTGAATACTGATGCTCTGAAAAACGTGAATAGTATTGTCTGAAGAAGGCTCCTCAGTTTGACTTGGTATATTTTACTGTATTTGAAAAAATGAGTTAGAATTGTTTTGTGGAGTACACTGAGCCTTAATTTAAACGTAGCTACTTACTTGGATACAAAGGTCAGTTACTGAGGAGAGCAGAAGCTGGCAGGGAGGTGATTCTCTGCCATCGGGTTTCTCTTAAACTAAAAGCTGATGAGGCATGTTGTATCATTTCTTCTAGTATCACTGAGTCAGTTTTCTATAGTGGACTCCTGTTCTGTCACATTTCTTTCCTTCCATGTAGCGATACAGTCATCTTTCTACATAATCATCATGATGTCTACAGGTAGCCCTCAGCAACATCCCTGAACATGGTGAATGGTGAAACCAAATAGAGTAGATAAAAGTGCATTTTCAGATTTAAGAGACTGTCATCTTCTGTTGTTCAGGCTTTTTGTATGAAATTAGAATAAATACAAGCAAAGTGTAACATAAATGGAAAAATACTTTCAGACTTAAAATAAGTTGAGGGTGTTCTTGATTTAGCTTTTCTTGAGAAACAAATTAGTTCAGTTTTAAGAGAACTTAATTAAAGTATTTAATGTAATTAAAAGTCAGCCTTTTATTTCCTGAAGTATTTTTGTATTTTTATTTTAAATTCTCTAAGTGACAGGGGGAGAGAGAGACACCTGTGTAATGGTGCCTAATGTGGTGAGTTGCTGGGTTTGAGTATATTCATGGTTTATAATGGATAACAATTCCTGCAGTACTTCCTGGTATACCATCTAGTAGCTTAAAATAGCTCAGGTAATAATGTAAGTGGGAATCATTTTAAGGAGTCTAGATAGGCTTTTTAAGTGCAGTTGTAATTTTTCTCCTCACAGTTCTAAAACAGTTGTGATTTCAGATCATAAAGACTACTTTTGGTTTTAAGTACTGAAATAACCACGGATGTTTTCTACTGAAACAGGGTTAAACATAAAGAATACACATCCTACTCAGTAGCAAAAAGCTTTTAAATAAAGTTGGCTGAGACAGCTTTTATATTCTGCTATAAGATTATCACAGACATTAAATGAGATGATTTAAGAGCTTAGTTTTGCAAAAAGAAGGAAATCATATGGCTTGATGCTGCACTTTCAATTTTTCTGTTTCTATCCACTCACTCTCCCATGAGAAGTATAAAATAGTTAAAAATAAATATACACATAAATAAATAAATAAAGATAGACCCTTTTTAGTCTCTGCTAAAGCAGAAGAAAATGCATCCTAGAGTAAGCCTTAGGGGGGAAGTTAGAAGGTGGGGAAAAGATGGAGCCTTGCCTTTTTCTGGAGGAAATGGGCTGTTACATTCTCTTGTGCTCACAGAATTTCAGCTATAAGGAAAGACAAGCAATGAGTGTCATATGTGGCCTCGGTTTAGGTTGATTTTTTAAAGAGGTATTTTAGTGAAGAAAGTGCACTTGATGACAAAAAAAAATACTTTCCTAGTTATAGCTGTGCTCTGTTAGCTCTCAGGCTCACAGAGTCAGTATAGAGGTTAAGAGTGCGTGCATGTGTGTGTGTAGTGCTGTGCTTCAGTACTAGAAATTAGCTGGCACCCTTTGTGCATGCATGGTGAGACAGGTGTGACCATGATTTGTTCTTTTTCCAATTTCATTTTTGTAGTAGAAGGGAGAATCTCATTTCTCAGTTCTGTTACTCACCTACAAAAAATGTGATTCCCAAAGCCCTTTCTGAAGCAGTCTGTGATTGCATTTTTAAACAGTTTTTTACAAGCTGCAGTAGCATTATGTAAAGGATGATTTTGCAGAATGTATATATGTAGTAAAAAATGTCAGTAGTACTCAAGTAGGATCAATTACTATGATCAAGTAGAATCAAATAACACTTGGCATTTATTACCTATCTACATAATAAAAAGAAACTCAGTAATTTCCTCTTTTCACAGACTTCTTCCTTTTATAAGAGTTTTAATTTTTTTTTTTAATCAAAGAACTTCTAAATTGTAATGATAACATATGCTTGGATAAATTTTGTCAATTAATCATTTTTTTCTTCCCATTTAATGGAATGTTTTGTTCTTTTAAATACCAAGCTGCTACTGCTACTTGGTGCTTTTCATTATTTGGAGGAGAAATGAAAAAAAGAATTCAAGTCCATAAATACTTCAATAATACAGTAGTTCAATAAAAGATAAACAGACCTTTTTCTGTTCAACAGGCATTGTTTCATGGGAAATTTATTGACACTGGTTTTTCTCTGCCTTTCTACAAACGAATGCTGAGCAAGAAACTTACTATTAAGGACCTAGAATCTATTGATACTGAATTTTACAACTCCCTAATTTGGATAAGGTTTGTAGATTATTTTAGAGTGTGTGTGATGTTGTATCGATTTTTTTGTTTGTTTGTTTATATAGAATTCATTGATCTTTTGTTTTCTTTTCATTCAGGGATAATAACATTGAAGAGTGTAACTTGGAAATGTACTTTTGTGTGGATATGGAGCTCTTAGGAAAAGTAACCTCACATGAGCTGAAATCAGGAGGTTCAAATATCTTGGTAACTGAGGAGAACAAAGAAGAATATATTGGGTAGGAAGGTGTAGATGTTGGAAAAAGTGTTCCGTATTTCTTCTGTTGCTCCAGTCTTTTTTGACACAGTATATGATTTGTTTTCTCTTTTTTCCTGTTACTGTGCAATTCTTGGGACTATCATTGAAATGATACTCAGTATTCTGGTATCTGGGTATACACATGATCTCGTGGTACATATTGTTCTCTCCTATTCCCCTCTTCCCTCTCCCCCAACCACTCCCCTTCCAAAAAAAAAAAAAAGGGAAGAAAAAAAAAAAAAGATCTGATAGAGAGAAGAAACTCTTGTTATTACATGTACAATGAGAGAACAGGTGAAACTGGAAATGAGAAAACCTACTTTCAGTAACTTCAGTTAACAAATCCAGGTGGAGGGAAGACATGTGTTTGACAGTGGATTTCAAAATTGTTCAGAACTTTCCTGTCACTGTGGAAACTGAAATTCAGGATAGTGTATAATGTGGTGTGACTTAAACTCTTTTTTGTCTTTGTTCTGTTATGCTGTTCTTTCCTGCTTCTCTCCTAATCTTGTGTCTGCCTTTCTGTTTCTGAACCTGTATTTCTGATCCATCTATTCAAAGTGATCTCAAAAGCAGGTGTACACAGATCCTTTTCCATGATACAGTGTGTGTCCAGTGCTGCACATAAAGTTCCCAGTTAAATTAGCAGTCTTTAGTTTCTCAGTGAAATAGTTTCTATAGTATGTATACATATATTTATTGTCTTTTTTTTATTCAGAAGTGGCTTGATTATTTTAGTTGAAATATAAAAAATGTTAACTCTTCCTCCAAATCTTAGCATACATCAGAAGCTCAAAACAGAAAATGACTGCTCTTTGTTGAAGCTGGAAATAGTCTTATGCTGGAAATATTGGGCAACCATAGTTATAGGTATTAAAAGCAACAGTATTTCTTATTATTCTCTGCCTATGTGGTGTTTTTTGCTCAAGAACAGAATTATTTTAAAATCAGTGGAAGTTATTTTTTTTCTCTGCCATTGAAACACTGGGATGATATGCTTTTTAAGCTAAAGCAAATTTTACCATAACAAAATCATAATGCCCAAGTAGCATTATTTTCATGAAAAGGCTGATGAATTTTGATGAGTTACAGTTAAAAATTTATTATTATTATCCTTTAATGGTAACTGAGTACATCTTTTAGAATTATAGAATGGTTTGCGTTGGAAGAGACCTTTGAAGGTTATCTAGTCCAACCCCACTTCAACTAGATCTAGATCTAGCAAGATCTAGAATCTTGCTGCTTTTACTGTTATCTGAGTTTGGAGATTTGTGATATTAGTATGGTAGGTCCCTTATAGACTGTGGAATCATACAGTGTAAGAAAGTAAAATTGGAGGGAGCGTTATGTCATGGGAACGCACACGCAGTCACACGTTTGAACTTCATACTGAGTGCTAATTGATGTTTATTTTTTGTTTGTTTTTTTTCCATCCCAGGCTAATGGCTGAGTGGCGATTCTCTCGGGGAGTCAGAGAACAAACCAAAGCTTTTCTTGATGGTTTTAATGAAGTTGTTCCTCTACAGTGGTTACACTATTTTGATGAAAAGGAGCTAGAGGTGAGGTTTTGTGTTCAACATTTTTACCTTTTGCAAAGGTAATGCATATAGAATGATTAAATGGATAGGTCAGCTTGAATCTTTCATCTGTGGCATGCTGCATCTCACAGAATCACCCAGAATCACAAAATGTTA